AATGAAACTAGAGAAATTACGACTTTTTAAAAAGTTATCATCTCCCTATGCCCCTTCCTTTCAATTTTAATCGTTAAAACCCTCTCCAAACCCTACCCTGCTTTTACCCTAGCTTCTTAATTACTGAGATGGTGCCCAGAGCTACATTATTGTAAAGATCACGTGGTAGACTTCAATTTGATATTTGAGAAAAGATATATTGTATTAGTTAACTGAATAACTATATAACTTTTGCTAGTAGAGGAGAAGATAAATTGATATTAATTAAAAGAAATTATTTGTTTTGATTTCATTTACTGCAAAGTTACTCTTAAATATATAATTTTAAAATAGTACTATAGTATTTTTTTTTTATTAAAATATATTATTCGAACAAAATGAATAATATTTGTGATTTGAAAATTTACTCTTCCTTTTGCTATATACATTTATTTCTTTTTTTAGTTTCTATTGTCGTGTTATATTGTGTTAGTTAATTGCATGAATATATTGTATTAGTCGACTGTATGCATGTATAGTTTTCGTTGATAGGGCAAAAGATAACTTAGTATTAACTAAAGATATTTTTTTGCTTTGGTTTCAATCATCACAAGCATGCACTTACATATATGGTTATAAAACAGTATTTATTCAAAAAAAACCAATAACCTTATCAATCATCCAATAATTTCTTTTTTCATTAAAATTATATTATTTAAACAAAATGATCAATTTTTGTCATTTGCAAGTTTTCATTGTTTATATATTGCCTGCAAAATATGGTTTGACTCACAAATTTTAAGTAAAATCATATTTCTTGTTTATACTTACATGAGGAAAGAAATTGTCATATTTATGTTAATAGTATAGATAGTGTCGGCTCAAGGGTAAAGCCACCAAAGCGGTGGCTTTAGGCCCCAAATTTTTATAGGCATCTAATTTTATAATAATCATATAACTAATTATATTAAGAATATATAAAAAATTAAAATAATAAATAAAATATCTATCTATTCTGTTAGGCTTAATAAATATATATTTTTCATATAAAAGTCAAGATAATTAATAAAATAACATATTCTCTTACTTCTCTAATTATGTGCTTAATATATCTAAATTTTTTATTACTTCTCAATTCCTACAATACTATTAATTCTCAATTATTTTTGTTATTGTCAATAAACTAACATTAATATCTATTTAATGATCTCTAATAGATTTTCTTTTTCAATTATTTTTTCTATTTTTAATCAATTAACGTATTTAGTTTTCTCTAATACTTATTTTTTATATATAAAATCAATTATTTTTTTTAATTTATAATATCTACTTTTAAATTTTTCT